GAGGGAGGGGGGAGGGGAAGGGAGGGGCAAGGACAAGGCCTACCTGGGCTTAGTGCCGGCTGTTGGGGGTTCACCTCGTAGCAGTACAGCTGACTCTCACCCTGAAAGGAGCCCAGTCTGAGCGCCTTTGCTGATCATACCCCGGTGGCCTGGGGCAGCCCTAGGTCCAGCACTGGCTCGCCCATTCCTCTCCAAGGACCTGGCCACAGGAGCATGGCAGACATCGACTGAGCACCCACATGTGCTGGGCACTGAGCTGAGACCGCGGAGACTTTACCTCACCTGTTTGTCATCAGCACGTATGGAGTGAGCACTGGGGGTGTACACTCAATGTTTACAGAGTGCCTACTGTGTGCTAACACTGCTCTATTCTCAGCCTGTCCTCATGAAGCTGATGTTCATTGACGAAGACGCAGAGGGCCGGATATGTGGAGCCCCTGGAGGAGGGGGGGGGCCGCTCAGCCTGACAGCGGTGGAGCCTGGGCAGCACTGTTCTAGCTCCTCCTTTCTGGGGAGGTAGCATCCTGCACTCGCCACTCTCCCAGCTGGCTGCTTAGGTCAAAGGTCAGGCCCAGGCCCCCAGGGGGCCGACACGGGTGGGAGCTTCAGCTTCTCACTCACCGTTCCTGCCAGGACCAGGAGCCCGGAGTCCGGGTCTAGCAGCGGCATCAGAGGCCTGGGGGAGAGAGAACTGGTTGGCGGGTGGGGCCAGCCACCTGTGGGCGAGGGGCAGTATGAGGTCTATGAGCCTTATGACTCCAGACAGGAGCTCAGGCCAAGCACCACAGTGGCCAGGAGCGATGTGGCCCCTGCAGCTACATCCAGCCTGATCCCCAGGGACCGTCTGCCTCCTCTCCCTGTGCGACCAACACACCAAGCACATCTCCACATCCCAGCCTTTCTTTGCCCACTTGTTTTGCTCAGGACTTGTGCCAGGCCCTGGGCACGGGAGCCATGCCCTCTTTCTGTACCTCAGCCCCAATCTCCATCCAGGCTGACCCCACATATGATCTGTCCCTGGTCCCACCTTGGCCAGCCTAGACATCAGGCCAGCATTACCAGGGCAGGTGAGGGGCTGCTGAAGCCAGGGGTTCCCTCCATCCCTACCCAGGGCAGTCAGGTGGGTGCTCCAGGTCTGCACTAAGGTTTGGGTGCCTCAGTCATCCCAGGCCCCTGGAGCCTTGATGACATCTTAAGAGACTCAGACTCCCCACCCTGGCACTGACCTTGACCCCGTGCCCAAGCCTGAGCAGGGGCTGGAGCAGCACCTCCTTTTCTGCCAGCTTCCCTGCCTTCCTGTTGTCAGTCTCCCATTCCCAAGGCGAGGCCTGGGGCAGGTAGGTGGCCGGGAACATGGAGGGCACGCTCTGTGCCCATCTCATCTTGGCCAATGGTCTGTTGCAGATCAGGGGTTTATGACGCCCCTCCTCAGGCCCTGCAGAGGCCCCTCTGCAGCCCCCCCCCCCCACACCCTGTGAGTCCTGCCTTCCAGCCCGGGTTCTCAGGGAGATGGGGCCCAGGAGAACTCTGATAGGTGCTTTCATCCATTTGTATCTTGTTCCTGGTCTTGGTCTCATGTTCCTGGGGACCTGCGGGCCTGGACCCTCAGCTCAACACCTTTCCCTACACAGAATGCCGCCCTCACTGTGGTCCCAGTGGTCAGAGGTCACCCAGCTGTGGCAGCTGCCTCTATCCCTCACCCAGGCAACAAAGGGCCCAGCCCCCTCCTCCCCTGCCCATCTACCCCTCCTGGCCAGCTGCCCACCTCCACCCACCCTGCTGGGAGCCACAGAGTGGGCTGGAAAGCTGGGTGAGGCCCTGGGTGTCTCCACAGCTTCCTGAAGGGCCCTGGGCTGGTCACCTGTGAGTAACACAGCCTCTAATTACCGCAGGTCAGGCCGGGTGAGCTGGGCTCAGAACTGCCCTTCTTGACCTGGTCTGACCACTGCCTGCCTTGTGGGAAGGGAAAGGTGGGAAGGACATAGTGGGTGTGTGGCCTGGGGTGCTCCCCCCACACTGACGCTGGCTCCAGAGGGGCCAGACACAGGTCCTGTCAGCAGCTCTAGCAGGGCTTTCATTCATTCACTCATTCATTCTCAATCATTCATTCCTTTGGCAATCTGGTCTGTGACAAGCCCTCAGCTCGCCTGCATGTCTGACTGGAGGTGAGTAAAACAGACTCCACCTCTGACCTCAAGAAGCTCCCAACCTGGTATGAGAGGCAGACAGTCCCACAGATAAACAGGGAAAGTTCTCTTGAGGACACACGGCAGGGGGCAGAGCGGTCTGACTTTGGCTGGCCACAGGGGAGGGGATATTCCCTATGACCCCAAGGTGAAGGAAGAATCAACCACATCCACGGGAGAGAGTTTGGGGCAGAAAGAGCAGCATGCACTGGCTTGTTTGAGGAACAAGGAGGACAAAGTGGCTGGTGGCTTGGGCAGTGAGGGTGAAGGCTAAGGCTCAGGATAGAGGGGGGAGAGGCAAGACAGGGCAGGGTCTGGTGCATCAGAGGGGAGTTCTGCCTCCCTCCATCGGACAAGCAACGACAAGCTGATGGTACTTCATAAGTGAAGAGGGAGGAGATCAGATGTGCGCTGAGCAGAGATCCCCATGTAAAGATGGGTGGGAGAAGTGGAAACAAGAACCGATGGGCTCAGGACAGAGTCTAAAGGCAAGTTGGCTGGGGGGTCTCCTGCTGCCCCACTGCTGCCTTGGTGGAACTGGGGCCTGGAGCTGTGGGTTCCACCACAGTATCACTGGCTCACCTGGGTTCTAAACCAACCTGAAGAGGTTTGACCTGGCCTCCCCTCATCCTCGCCCCATCAGCCTCAGCGCCGGCCCACTGACTCAGGTGCTCGGGATGTGGGGCAGGAAGTCACAGAGGGTAGGGCTGGCTCCTCCGACAGGTCAGGCCAGTCTTCCTCGCCTCAGGCAGAATCATCTGGGCAGCTTTGCCAGGTGGGGAGCACCTGCCCACCATGGCACGGGCCAGGAAATGGGGTCATGGCACCCAGCCTCAAGGGTTGGCCAACAGCTAGCACGAGCCTGACCCCAGGCCTTATACAGAGAGCCAAGCCAGGTCTGCACCTGGAATGCAGAATTGAGACCTGGCCTGGCAGAGAGCCAGAAGTGGTGAGAGCTGGCACAGGTACCTCTACCACTGCCATGGCACAGGGGGAGGGCTAACATCTGGGTCTGCCACAGGGAAGGGCTCTGACCTGGGTCCAGGGGTCTGCCCCAGACCCAAATCACAGAAGGTCTAGAGCCCACATCTGCCCCCTAACCCTGAGCTCAGGTCCCAGAAGATGCAGGATGATGGTGGTACAGAGTGGTCACATGGGGGAGGGGTCAGCCCCTGATAATCCTGTCGGTTCTCCCAATATTCCTGCAATTAGCACAGAAAGTACTGGGGTGTGCCTGCTAAGAAAGGCAGCTTCAAGAGGCCTCCTCTGGTTTCCCCATCAGCCCATCAATCTAAACATCCTGGCATTACCACTGGTCCAAAGCAGTCCAGGTCCCTTGGATCTGTCCCTGTTACCGAGGGTGGGCAAAGGGGACCCCCTTGCACCAAGCTATGACCCACACTCCTTAGCCCCCTCCCTCATAGGAGCTCCAAGTAACCGGGTTCTAAGGGAGGTGGTACCTTGCAGCCACGAGGAAAGGAACAACAAACCGGGGAGGGGATCTCCTGCAGCTGCCCTTGAACCTCTGGATGGATGTGAGCATGGCCTGCGTGAGTCCAGGGTACAAGATCGGGGCAGGGGATGGACCATTTAGGCAGGTGGGGTCTCTCCATCATCAATAACTGGCTACAGAGGTGAGAAGCTTTGGGGCCTGTCAGGAAGACCTATTCTTTGGGGAAAGTCAGGCTGGAGGTCCTCATACCACCCCCTTCCTCTTACAGCATCTGTGGACACTCCTGAACTGGGGTGACCTGTGAGCCCAAGACTTGGTCGGGGGGGCAGTGGCTACCCAGCCGAGTTCCTGTTCAAGCCAAACTGGGAAGTCCCATTTTAATGTGAAACCACCACATTTTTAGTGTTGGCAATGCCATCAAAGTTTTAAAAAGTCTCATACAGGCCAAATGAAACACACCCGAGGACCAGTTCTGGCCCAGGATCACAGGTTTGCAAGCCGTGCTTCATATCCGTGAATACCAAGAAAAGTAAAGGGTGCAAGTGTGGGGTGCAGAGCCCTGCCTATCCTGGAAAGGGACCCTGTTTGGGAGAGGCCCTGAGGAGGCTCAGAGCTGAGAGGAGAAATCTAGGTGAGTGTTGCAGCTGGATCCTGCTTAGACTACTGGCAACTGGACGCGATCAAGCCCTCCAAAGACCACACAACACCCCACCACCACCACCACCACCACACACACACACACACACACACACACACACACACACACTGCTAGTGTGGCCCAGCCTCAAGGGACAAGCCTTCAGAGCCCTCGCAGACTCAAACTGGCCCAGCAAGGGCCCTGGCTGCAGGACATGCTGGAAGAGGGGGCGGGTGTCCCACAGCCCTGTGGAAGCGGAGAGCTGAGCTGGGTCCCAAAGGCTCCCGGGCATGCCTCTGACCACAAACACGGAGGGGGAGGAGGACAGAGCCTTTTCCTGGAATCCTCCAAGGCAGGGGATTTTTCTGTACTAGGCCAGCCCCTGGCATCCGTCCCTCCTGCCCCATCAAGGGCCACTGTCAGCAGCACCAGGCCCCACCCACTGACAGTGAGGCCCAACCTCCCACTCCATCCTAGCCCCCCCACCCCCCAATCCATTCTGGCCTTGGAACTGCCTGTAACCGTGGGGCCTTGGTCACTTCCCCTTCCTGTGTCTCAGTCCCTTCATCTAAAACATGGAGAAGGTGGTCAAGGGATGTTTACGGCCCTGAAAGGAGCCCAGAACTCAGACATGACATTAGAGTTTGTATCTAGTTTGCCTCTGAAGGGCTCTGTGGGGCCTGCCCAGGAGTTTCTGAAATTGGGATTAGCTATCAACAATAACACATTGAGAGATTCCACGTAAAAAAAAAAAAAAATCCAGATTTCCAGTTTCTCTTGAAAAACCCGAAGCTCTGGCAGGCTGGGGCAGGTCATGGGGACCGTCCTTCCACCAGCCCCTATTCCCCTCCTTCCTGGTCTCTCCAGGTCTCCACAGGTTCTGGGATCTGCTCCTGGAATTTATGTCACCTGTCCGTTATGTCGCAGGCATCCGGGTTTGGGACTCGGTCTAACTCAAATTCACTTGCTTATTACATGAAAAACAGAGACCTGCGCAGGGTCATGGGGCAAACAAGACGCCTCTGGAGCCCCGGACTCAAGACTCCGGACGGGGCTGAACAAAATCTCCCTCGCCCGCCAGGTCGGGAGGTGGTGGAGGTGAGGACCAAGCTGCCCCGCCAAAAGACCTCTTCAGTCTAGAGGGAAGGAGGGTCTCCCCGGGCTCGTCCCGCCCTGGCCAATGGGGAGGGGCCCCGCCCCCCGCTAGCGACAGCCCCGCCCTCCAACCTTTAAGGCGCAACCAGCCTCCAGCGAGCTGACTCCGCAGCCCGAGCCTGTGGCTGGGAGACCCGGACACGGCTTCCTCGGGACCCAGGAACCCTCCGGTCCTGACGGCCAGAAAGGACTAAGGCCGCGCGGCCCGCCCCGCCCGGCTCCCGCCGCCGCTGTCCGGTGAGTGTCTGCTGGCCTGGGGGGCTGCGGACGGGGGGCGCCACGGGAGCGGGTTATGCACATGCTTCCATCACGCGCGCGGACCCCCGGCCGCGCGCACACGCACTCAGGGCAAGCACGCGCCCCCAGCCTAGCACGATCACCTGGGCTGACCCTGCTCGCCACCTCCTCGGCAGTCCCGGGACACCGACAGCTCCATGGCCGGGGTACGCGCGCGGGCGTATGTATGCTGCTTACCGGCCGGCCGGCCGGCCGGCGGGGCTGCGAGCAGACAAAATAAACACCCCCTCCCTCGTTTCCTCCTCCCACGACTTGGCCCTCCGGCATGACCAGTTTTATGAATCAAACCCCTTTGAGGGGATGGCCACGCCATAGTCTTGGGTTACTTTTACCTCCTGGAGTGGAACAGTCTGGTTCTGGGCCAGGAGCCCTTGGTGGCCCTGTGCAGATCTGCCCACCTGGGGTCCTAGGGGCCCTTGTCAGTCAGGGCAGAGCCAGGGGGCCACAGACATGCAGCCCTGGGGAGGGGTAAGGTGCTGGCTGGCAGGTTCTGATGCCCCATTCTGCCCCTCACCCACGCACCCCCAGACCACAGACCTTGGCTGGCTGGAGCCCTTCGAGCTCCCGGCATTAGGATGCTTCATCTCTGCTTCTGCCAGAGAAGGGGCTTTGCTTGGGCTATGAACCCAATGGCCTAGAGCCAGCCTAGTCCTTTGTGTCCCAGGGCTGGCAGTGCTGGGGCCTGAGGGCTGCTGAGGTCCCCTGTGGTCACTGGCAGGCCAGCTGATTGGTGCCAACCATTCTGCCTCGCCCCCATTCGTTAACCATTACCACACCAGGGTCGCTGACCGCCTTTCCCGCTGGGGCCCAGGGGTGGAGTCAGCAAGGTGGGAAGGAGGAACAGGCCCTGAGGGTCCCAGTGTCCCCCTGCTTATTATCTTTTGTACCAAGGGCAGGTGAGGCTCTGGAGAGAGGCACCAGGGCCCAGTGCCCCCCTCCCCAGGCCAAGAGCTTCTGGGGTTGGGGGACTGGACTGATTCTCAAAGGTCCCTTCCGACTAGGCAGTACTTTAGGGTGTTGAGGGCATAGAGGGGTGGCTGGGTGGGTGCCCTCTGAGTAGGGTCCATTCAAGCTGGCCCACCCAGCAGTAAAGTCCAGTATGGGCCCAGCTGTTGGCAAAGTCCAACAGGGCTAAGGCAAGTGGGTGGGGGGATGGGAGAGCAATCCCCTGAGTTTGCTGTCTTCTCCCAGGGGAATCAGGCCCCGGAGCTTCTGTAAACAGAGTGTCAGAGGCAGGAAGAGGGCTCTGGTAATGAGCAGCCCAGCTGGATTCCTTCCAGACCATTATCTGGCCTCTCCTGGGCCCAGGGAGGGTCGATGAGCACACTCGTGCCAGGCTGGGGGCCTGGACAGGGCCTGTCCCCACCTCCCTAGCTTCTTGTGGCTGCTGACTGAAACAGCCACCCTGGAACCAGAGTCCAGAGAGTCAGATGGGGCCAGTAGGGGTGGTATCTCAGGGCATTTGCTGGGATGGCACCCCTCTCCAGACTCTGGGAATGAGGGAAGGAGTACAACACAAGAAGCCCCTCAGACATTGTCCAGACCTATGCTTGCCCCAGGAAGGCCCCTGTGACAGGCAGCCGCGGCGCCAGGTAGATGCCCCGGGCAAGAGACTTTCTAGAAAGTCCACACTTTCTAGCTCCCACTCCTGATACCCCAGCTACAGCCCTGGGGGAGCTAGGGAAAGTATCAGGTAAACAGAGTTGAGTCCTTGTAAATGGACCCCACCCATGGGCTGGGCAGCCCCTGGGGACAGGAAAGTGGGGTCCCAGGTGGGCCCAGGAGGCAGCTCCTACCTTGGCAGGCCAGCCAACCAGTCCCCCTTGGTGACCAGAGAGAAGGCTGTGTGAGTCTCTGCCCACAGAAGCGTCCCTGTCCATTGGCAGGCCCTGAGCTAATGGGAAGGGCAGCAATGCCACCTAAATAGGTTAGTGACCCCCTCCTGGAGCCCCCCTCAGCTCTCCTTAGAGTCCCCTCCCTGGGCTGGGGAGCCCAAGGCTCTGCACTGCCAAGAAAACCAGCTCCCCTCACTGCTGTGGAATTTGCAGAGTTCTTAGAGAAGGGGGAGGGGGTGAGAGAGCACGGCCCACTGGGCGTGTGTCTGGCGTGGGTGTGTGTCTGCATGCGCGTGACTGGAGCAGGGCTGTGTTTGGGGGCGGGCAGGGGGGCAGGGGTGCTTCGGGAGTCTGCATGCACCACAGGCAGGCGGGGGCTCAGCCTTCTTCCTTTTATCGGTTTCCACATTCCAGAGTCAGCCGGATTGCTTTTCCTCAGCTGGCTGGGCCGCCAGGCAGGCCTGGCCTGCAGGCCTCCCCCGCTTTTCCTCATTCCTGCCTCCCTGGGTATAAGGAGGCTGGAGCAGGCTCCTCTAGACCACCTCGGTTTAGGGGGTGGGGGCAGGCGAGGGGCCAGCTCTCCTCCAAGGTTGGAGAAGGCCCCCCCCCCCACCAGTCTCCTCCAGGGAAATGCAATAAGGCTCTGACATTCCTCCGAGGCTGCCTGAGAGATTTAATTAAGGAGGGAGGAAAGCTGGCTTGCATTGAGAAGGGGCTGGGGCGGTCACT